AGAGAGAGAGAGAGAGAGAGAGAGAGAGAGAGAGAGAGAGAGAGAGAGAGAGAGAGAGAGAGAGAGAGAGAGAGATCCAAGTCCGAATACATCCGCATATACACATCCATTTCGAAAATGGCAAGTATCCTAAATATCTTAGGTCGAACGTAATATTGAGGAAAAAAAAATATATACATAAAAGAAAATCAGGTGGTTGTAGTGCCTACGAAGACTAACACTAGTTCCATTTGAAAATAAAAACAAACGAGTCAATTGTGCGATTTCAATTAACAAAGAAAATAATAACATTGTAATCATATCGTTGGTTTCTTCCTCTCCATTGCCCCCGTCCCGCCTCACCGATCATTTCACACTCCCCTCGTATTGACCACGTCATTTCCACCCTCACCCCCATAATCGAAATCATCGGTTAAGGTCTCAAGATTGCGAGGATGGAGGATTCCCTCCACATCCTCTCCCTTCCCACCATCCGCAGCGGCCCCTCCCTGTGGTGTCAGATGTACTTGCGCATCACCTTTGCCTGTGCATAACTCCGGTTGCAACTGACTGTCCGGCACGCTAAGGCCAACACCTGACTCTGACTGCATTTCGGATGTGCCTTCTAATGCGGCGAATGTCTGTAACAAACTCCCGTACGTGGCACCTGCATCTGACGACAATGCATTTGATACATCCATGCGTTTGGACGGTTCTGTCGTGTCGACGAAGATTCGCGGCATAGAGATCATGTGAACCTCTTGAGTCTTCACCACATTACTCCCGTCATCCTCCCTCTGCCCTGCCTGCGTGGGTACGGGGGGCGATGCTGACAAAGGCACGACATCCTGAGAGCTGCTCTCCTCCATGGTTCCGATAGTTTGATTGACCTTCCAGTTGATTGACCCACATGAGGGACTCGTTCGCAGGGCGTAAAATTTACAACTCTTCTCCAACTGCTGATTGTCTCGCAATACAAAAAACAATTGAAGTTCGGGTTCTTCATGCTCGCCTGCGTGTCGTCGCTGAACGAGAACTGCTGATTGTCTCGCAATACAGAAAACAATTGAAGTTCGAGTTCTTCAAAGCTCCTGGCCAACGAGCACGTATTTGTAAATGCAGTTCGAGTTCTTCATGCTCGCCTGTGTGTCGTCGCTGGCCGGGACGAAGGAGTTAACCTGACTCTTCGGCATTGTCGCCACGCCAGTCGACCCGTAAGAAACAGTCTTCAGCAAGGCTGCGTTCACCCCGTTCCCAACCCTCAGCTACCGCCGAAATGCTACCCGGTCCTCCCGAACAAACTGTGGTGTCCCTTTTTTTTTTTTTTTTTTAGGTTATGTTCCTCTCTCCATTTAACCTCACACTACCCACCTGCTCCTGACTCGCAGGCGGGCCACACCGGTTAAGGGGCCGCCGGTAGCACCAGCGACCATGCCAACAGGACCAACTCGAATCCCTGTGCCTCCCAGTCCCCGTCGCCCTTCCCTCCAGCGCGCGGCACGACCTTCCCTGTCAGCGCGTGCTCATAGATTTCAGCGCACGCTCAAATTTTTCAACGCACGCTTAAAAATTTCGTCGTCGCCATCGTCGTCATCGTCATAGTCGTCGTTGTCCTCGCCGTCCCCGATGTCGCCTACAGCGTCCTCTCTCTCTCTCTCTCTCTCTCTCTCTCTCTCTCACACACACACACACACACATACACACACACACACACACACACATACACACACACACACACACACACACACACACACTCTTTCCGACTTGGATGTGTGTATGCGGACGTATGCAATGAGGGTGGCCAAGGTGTGAGAAATAAATGATTGATTGTATACGTGAATGTACTAAATGCAAGTAAAAGATTAGAGAAACATTGAAAACATGCGTTACATGCATTAGCTCCCACAAAGCATTTGGCCATGCACTCACCATCCTTTCCCCATCCGCCCGCGTGAATGTCGTATTCCCCATGTTTGTGGTGTGCAGTGCAAATGACAACAATTGATACAAGATTGTGCAAAAGAGGATGAACAATGCATCTCGCAACTTCGTCTTTATCAAAGAGGGAGACGGCAGCCTTGACGCGTATCATCCGCGAATACG